CTGACAACAACATCCTCAGCCCAAGCCTCCCCCACCAGCTAGCCCCACACACACTCTCCTTGGCTAACCACACAGACTGGTGCTGCCAATGGGGTCGGCCGTGCCAGGAGCTTCACATGGTTCAGTAGCACCAGCTCAACCCAAAGGTAGGACACAAGCTCCATTTCTGGTGTGGGAAAATGACCAGTCCTCAGTCTTATCAGCACAAGGTCATAGTTAGTGTGATTTTTCAGGATCTCAGTCCTCAGTACTGCATCTGACAAGCTTGATTAGACTACCCAAAAAATGTCATTCTTCACCACCTTCTTTTTCACTTTAACTTGCAGCACTTCTCCAACACTAAAAGCCCTCTTGCAAAGCTTCACAGTGGCTGTGTAGAATCTAGTGATTAATACAGTTTCTATCCACTTCTTTCCACAGCAGACAGTGGTGCTAGAACACATTGCAGGCCCTGTTCTGAGAAGACAAGGCAGCTTTAAGTTGTGTTGTTTCACTTAGACATGGGAAAGCAAGGATCAACAGTTTAGGAGAAAGATCATGACTGCTGCTGTAGTAAAAAAAAAAACACCATACAAACCACAGCAAAACCCACCAGATTTCTCAGTACAATAAACGAAAGACATCCAAACATTAGTGTGTTACTTTTTTAACAGCCTGAAGCATTTTCACTTGTACACTGACACCTCTGGGACAGCAGCTGCCTTTAGCTCCACACTTCAAGAAATGCAGGGTTTGAAAAACAAGCCAGTCAACAGGTAACACTGAGCACTCCAAGCACCAGCTGCCAGAATCACAGTGAATTTGAACAGGCAGAATATGATTCATAGTGTCCTGCAGTCAGTGTGGTCTCACAAAAGGTCAGAATGCAGCTCAGATGCATGAAACAAGGTGATTTTACAGATCTGCTGGCACACAGGCCTCCAACTTCTATCTTTCTGATGTATAAACAGGTGCCCAGTGAATTCAGGGCAGGATGACAACCCCCCTTCCCTGGTCCAGCATCCTTTGCCCTTTATTCTCCCACCCAGAAATGCCACCAGTCCCTCCAGCTCTTTCCTTTTCCAGGGAAAAGCTGCTGTATTACTGTCTCCTGCAAGCATCTGCTCTCCAGGAACAATATCAGAGGAACAGAAAGTGGCCACATCTATAATCTTTACTTTCAAATTCAGTCTCAATAAGACCACTGCAAATCCACCTTTCCAGTTTAAAACTTGCTACACAGGTAGAACTTAATGCTGGGAAAACATACCAAAACCCAACCACTGCAAGCCAGGCTTCAAACTGCCTTAAGAGCTCACAGTCCCCCAAATGATGCTGGGTTTATCTCACAAATTACTCCAACATGGAGCTGAACAACCCCACTGCTGCTTTAGGTGTGTGAAAGAGTATCAGTGGAAAAGGGCTGCTGCTGTCAGTCAGAAAGGCACTTGACACCACTCCCACAGCCACAAACCCTTTACAGACACAACACTGCTGCTGAGGGTTCCACGTTCTCCACGTTTCAGAGGTGAGGAACTGAGGGAGATGGGATGCACAGAAAGGCTGCAGCAAGACCCAGTTGCCTGAGTCATCAGCTATAGACAACAGCCCACAGAGCCAGGCTCTGCTTTCCAGTACTCCTGTGCTCTCTTCACAGAAGCCACAATCTCAGCAGAATCCTAGAACAGAATCATAGAATCACCATGGTTGGAAGGGACCTCTAGGTTGATCAAGCCCAACCTTCCTCCCAACATCTCCCTAACCACCAGACCACAGCCTCAAGTGCTGCAGCTACTTGTTTTTAACCCCTCCAGGGGTGATGACTCCACCACCTCCCTGGGCAGCCCGTTCCAGGGCCTGACCATTCCCTCAATACAGAAATTCTTCCTAAAATTTCATGTTAATGAACACTGCTGTTTGATGAAATAAATCACAGCTTTCACCCAGCCACTCCTGCCCATCAGCTGATCATCCCTGTGCCCTGACCAAGATCACTGAATTAATCAAAGGTAGTATTAAGACAGCAAAAGCAGAAGAAAAGAAAAAAGGACATGTGCAAGGGGCAGGCAAGTTTTCAGTCAAATCACCCTCATGCCCATTTTGCTATCTGGCTGCCTGAACACTTGGGCACCAGGCAGACAGTGAGGTCCCCAGGGCCAGGACAAACAGCTGGGGTTGGAGAGGACAGGCTGCTCCTCTCCAAGCCAACACCAGCTGAGCAGCAGCTGAATGGCTCCTGCAGCTCCTAGAGGATCCCCTCTCAGTTAAAACTGCCCAGAGATAGAGTTGGACAGACCTGCAGCAGCCTGCAACAGAAAGCACAGGAGCAACATTTCAGAGTTTCAGGTTTGCTGTTTCTCAACAAGAGCCCAGGCAGGCCCTGGACTTGCTGGACACTCTGTGGCTTACTGAGCAGCAGGAGAACGTGCTGCAGATCACTTCAGCCAGGCTCCTCCAGGGCTGTCACTCAGTGGTCAACTTTGACTTTACACCAGAGGCCCCAGCAAGAGCAGAGACCCCTGAAGTAAGAGCGGGACGTGTATGCCAGTGGCCACACGAGTCACAATTTTTAAAGCCATTAAAGGCCTTGAAATCCTCAGGGACCAGTCTTGCTGAAAGGACAGGTGGAACAGACCCCCGACCTCCATGCTGCTCTCACACACTCTCAGGTATTTGGGGTGAGGAAGGAACACCCTCCTTTACATCCTCCTCAGGAAGCACTTTTCCTTTTGTCCAAGACTACCTAAAAGCCCAAACTGAAGATACTTCTGATTTTCCTACTCCCTTGGGGAGGTCTCCCCCAGGCCAGCTGGGACAAGGGCCCCAGGGCCAACACAAGGCCAGAGCTGTGAGCCTCCAGCCTCCCCTGGAGAGGGCAGCTCTCCCCACCCAGCACAGCCCCAAGGACTCCCTGCCAAAGGGATGTGCAGAGCCTGGAAGTCACAATCTCAGTGGGATTAGCTGGGCCAGAGCTGTGAGCCTCCAGCCTCCCCTGGAGAGGTCAGCTCTCCCCACCCAGCACAGCCCCGAGGACTCCCTGCCAAAGGGAGGTGCAGAGCCTGGAAGTCACAATCACAGTGAGATTAGCCATTCATACAGATGTAACAGGCACAGCCAGAACAATCAGCACTAAGAACACCAGTGTTAGAAGGGGGATTAAGCCTCATGTCTCTGGTGAGCCTCCAGCCTCCCCTGGAGAGGTCAGCTCTCCCCACCCAGCACAGCCCCGAGGACTCCCTGCCAAAGGGAGGTGCAGAGCCTGGAAGTCACAATCACAGTGAGATTAGCCATTCATACAGATGTAACAGGCACAGCCAGAACAATCAGCACTAAGAACACCAGTGTTAGAAGGGGGATTAAGCCTCATGTCTCTGGGACAAGCTAGTTCAATGATCAGAAGCTCAGTGTTCAGGGGCTGGAAATGGGAGGCCACCCCACTTACCTCTAGACCATCAGGGCTGGCCAAAGTCAGAGTATCAGGAGACCTTTGGTGTCTTCAGGACTGAGTCAGGACAGCCCTTTGGGCAGCTCACCCCTCCACCTCACTGCCCCAGAGGCTGCCAGGAGCTGCAGAGGAGTAAGCCCCTGCTTCACCCATCACATCACTTTGCCACATTCACTCACCTAGCTTGACCCCAACCCCCTAGGACACCACCAAGCACTGAGTGTTCATTTCCATTTAGAATCAGTGGGAAATTTTCATTGAAAACCTGGCAAATTGGACATTGGATGGGGGGAAGCCAGAATTCCTGAAAAGGAAGCAGTGTGCAGAACCCATAAAGCTGCAACTCTAAACTCCACAGGCTCTACACAGCTTACTCTGTGCTGCCTCTGTTTAAACAGCAATACATCCATGTTCTCCCACCCACAGTGCCCTGCACATCCTCCCCTGCTCCTCCCACCCACAGATAAACAGGCTCTGGAAACAAAGCTTGGGCAGATAGCTGTGGAAGCCCTGACAGAAAGACAATGCTATTCCCTGGGGGGAAGCAAAGATACCCATGTAATGAAGCTGTCTGCTTGGGATGCTGCTCTGGTCTCTTGAGGACAAGATCAAGTATGTGCCTTACAATTAATTTGTTTGTTATTTGTGTAACACGTCCTTATTTCCATCTACTGCAATTACTAATAGCTTAATCCACCCTCTTTTTTTTTAAATTAGAGCCATTGCTGTTGGGTAAAAGAGCCTGAAATGCAATTTATATGACAATGCAAAGCAGGCTCACTATAAACACCTACTTAAGCTCTTCCCATTCCCTCCAACAACCAGAAAGAGTAAAACAGCTACTTATAAAACAGAAAGTCAACCTCAGATGCACTTCTGCAGAGGACAGGGGGTGGGAAAGTTGGAGACTCAGGTTATGACCTGAGTGGAAGTCACCCATGCTGCAGTGAAAACCCAGCCAGGCCTCCTGCCCTGCTCACTCCCCCTGCAATGTTTTATTGATAAGGTTCTGCTAATTTGGGTTAGTCAGGCACCATCAAAAATTGGATCTGGAGTACAGGTGGTTGTCAGCCAGCCACAGGAGCACATGGCTGAGAAAATGCAGGACAGCTGGCAAGGCACAGGGTGGACTCCAGGAGCCAGCCTCGAGTCAGAGTTAGGAGGCAAGGATGACACCACACAGCTCTGGTACAGAAGAGCCTCTCACCAATGAAAAATCAAGGAATAAGTGACTAAAGGCAACCCCTGCACCAGTCAGGCCACAACCCAGAAACCTGTGGCAGCCAGTTTTTAAAAGAGATGCTACCAAAAGGAGATTTTTGGTAAAAAAGGTTTTTTAAAGGAGATGCTACCTCTGGGATCTGGGGACTCTCAGCTGCTCCCACAACTTCAGTCATGGACCTGCAGCAGCCAGGCACTATTTGCAAAAGCTCTCCCCCCAGGAAGCCCAACTCTGAAAACTGGGCAGTCCTACAGGCAGCAATAAGCATATTAAGCATCATCTGAGCTGCTGTGACTAAGTGACTTCTCTGATTGACTGTTTAATCCAGGTTTGCTTGTTTGCTTTCTTCCTTACCTGCTGATGTTCCCTGGCTCCTGCTGTGATATACTTCAGGAGTGTATCTACTAATGGCTTGCACATGATCTGTAACAAAGGAAGACCCAGTCTCTTATTAGTGGTTTGCTGACAGACAGGTTTGTTTTTCAAGCAAAACATTCTGTTTTCTACACAGCTTCTTGACTGTGAAGAAAATGCCATAAGAAAGAAAAGTGCCTAGAGATCAGCAACAGCTTACTTGAAAATTAACAGCTTTGCTCACACCAGCCCTGAGTGAAATCTCCATCACAAAGCAATCAGCAGCAAAACTCTTAAACTGGAAAAATCAGGCAAAGATTCCACCTCCTGTGTTCTGCCTGGTTCTTGACTTAAGCCTGCATCTGGCTGATCCTTTGCGTGGGCAGTTCAGATTGCACAGAGGAACATTGCCAGAGGCACAGGAGAACAGGCTGAGTTAGGCTGGAGAATGTCAGAGCTCGGGGAAAGATCTGAGCCCACGTGCCACAGGAACAACTGTGTCAGGAGGAAAGCCTCCCTGGAGACAGGTTACCTTAAAACTGTCCCCTGCAACAAGTCTGGATTGAAACAACCTTTCTAGAGGAGGGGTAATAGTCAGCAAAGCTCAATGAACCTTTGTTCTGGCCTCATCTGCCAGATTATCCATGGTTATAGGCAAAATATTTCCCAGCTGAGGGGCACAAGGAATCCAGACACAAGAAATGAGAAAGCATCTGGATTGCAAATGCTCTGCTGGAAGGTCTGGCCCTGACAAAGGATGGGCAGCAGTTTGCTGCACAGCTCCCTGATACACTGTGCAGATGGCTACTCCAACCACACCACTTGAAACAGTTTAATTTGGGGGGAAAGAAGACAACTAAAAGAACAGATAGCTCTAGAAAGTGGGCAAAGCCCAGCTTTGGACAGGCTAGTATCTGGGTGTGTCATTACCTTTGTTTTATACAAGGAATAAGCTTAAGGATTTTAAGACACTTCTGCAAGGGACAGTCTCATGGAATCCACAGGCTCTAGAAACCTGCAGATGGGACCTTAAGCTTGCTGTCCATGTGGGCAGCACACAAACCTTCTCCCTATGTCACTAACTTCTACAGGTGGCATCGTGGATTGGTGTCCTAAGAAAGCTGCTCTGCAAATCAACTCTCTCCTGGGTGGACTCCCTCAAAGTCTGAAAGCATCCTCCCCCAGTTACACAAGCCTGTGTCCTCCACCTCCCATCAGACAAACTCTACAAGGTTGAAGCCCTTGAGAAAAGGCCTCTGGCAACTGTCTCTACCTCACTCTTACCTAAATATCCCTGAAGAACTGTATGAAATTCAGACCCAAAGCCTGTTTCTTAAAAACTGGCTGTTCTCACTGTGGAGCCCAGCTCCAGGCACAGGTCAAGTTTGCAGGAAATACCTCAAACATTTCAGGCACTGACACTGTCTGAACATCCAGCCTCCAGATTAGATTCTAATTAAAACTCTGTGCTCTACAGCCTTCTTTGAAGAAAAAACATAAGATAAACTGAGCTTGCAGTCAGAGCAAAGCTGGACAGCAGCTAAATTAGCTGCTCAAATGAGCTAACCTCTTCTACCTTTGTTCAAACCTTGCTCATCCATGTTGTCTGGAAGAGTGGTAAAAAATTAGCCCTTCTTAGGCTATGCTTTAAAAAGCAGCTTTCTGTGCTTCTCCATTCTCCACACAGCATCCCCAAAACAAACCTCCAATGAGATCCTGGCCTCCTGCAGCACTGCTACCAAAACACGCAGCGCTGGGAGTCGGAGCAGGTGAAGGAAACCTTACAGCAGCCTTAAAAGCCTTCAGTAAAGCAGAGAAATTTCTCTCCCTGCCTTCCCCAGAATGACAGCTGTAGTTTGGAGCCCCCAGAGGACAAGCCCTGCCCAGCAGCACGTACCGGGAAGCGGCTGAAGAGCTCGTGGAACATGGCTGTGGTGAGGCCACTCTTGCGTTTGGTGAAGAACGCCGTCAGCGCCTGCCGGTAGATCCCTGCCACCCTCTCCACGTTCAGACAGCCTGTGCTCAAAAGCTACAGGGGGAAAAAGCAGAACAAAAACGTCCAGTGAAACACCAGGATCAATCACTAGCATAGAAGTAATTCATTTCGACCAGTGCACACAGATTTTTCCAATAATTAGATATTCTTGGGTAGCTCGTGTGATGCAGGCCGATGAGACACAGCCCAGACCCATGAAGACAAAGGTTTGTGGTGGGTGTGGCTGACACAGGAGGCTCACAGAGCACTCAGAGACCACCCTGCAGCAGCTATGCTGGGCACAAGGTGTTTTCTCAGCTGCACAGCTCTGAATCTGTAGGTAGTAGTGGATGTAGGTATCTCGGTCTACATATTCTTAGCAGCTATGTGTGGGATCTCCAGGTAAGCACCAGACAGGCCCTAGCTCTACTGAGGGATGCAGCAATCCCAGAACTGTGTCAGTGCTCCAAGATCCCACTCTGTGGGAAATAAGACACCCAGGGTGCAGGACCCAGCCAAGACCTGCACAAGCCATATGGATCTCAGCCACTAGCACAGGGGTGAATGAAGAATGAAGCATGGAGCATCACCTGTTCTCAAACTGCCAGGGAACCACAGCTCTCTGGGAAGAAAGAAAAATTAAGGCTCAAAAGGTCAAAACTGTGATTTTGACAATAGTGGATGGGCTTTTTGCAAACCTCTGCCCAAGAAGGGCCTCACAGCCAGTTGAAGCCATGTTACTGTTGTGTCCCATTCTCAGGTCAAACTCCCAGAGCTGCTGTTGTAGCTGAGTGGAACAGGAGAGAGATATCTTGAAACTCATGACCCCAGTTTCCTGGCCAAGTGTCTGTACTTAACTCTGACATACACATCTGATTCCTCCCCCCATGCAGACCTTTACTGTAACAAAAAATCCTTCTGTACTAACAGGCTCTTCCATGGATTTGGCCACCACATCACAGGGTCTGCTCTGGTTCCACTCTGCTGTGTACTGAAAAGCTCCAGGCTGGACTCTGAAGCAGTGCTCACTGGGAACACCCCACACCTCTGTCTCTGGCCCCCAACTGCAAAACCTTCCCAGCCTCAACACAGCATCAACACGAGCAGCACCACACAAACTGAACTGGGTCACTTCCCTCAAACCAGCAACTCACTTCAGCTGCTGGTTGGGCCTTTGGCTGCTCAAGCCCACAGCTCTGTTCCTGCAGGAGGAACAGCCTTCCCTGGGAAGGACAAGGAAGCACAAGGATGCTGTGAAGGATGTCTCACTCAAGCCTCTACATCAAGTATGTTGTTTAATTCCCCACAGATCTCTGTGTTTCTTTCCAGAAAGGCCCAGCACAGAACAAGAGCTGCCTGGATTAACAGTCTTGGTCTCTCACTAAGCCTTAGAAACACTGGCTATCTTTTCAGCTGCTAATATCATCTCAGGGTTTGTAATTTCCAGGCCTTCCCTTGTCATGAAGCAGCCCTGTTTGTTTTTCTCCACCACAAAATGCCAGTGGGATCAAGGCATTAATTCTTACACACAATTTGAGAGGTTCAGAGGCAAGTATCAGGCTAGCTGGACAAACAGCACTTGTCAGGTTTCTAGAAGTGCCTGGACTGGGCTGCCCAATATAAAAGATCACCAAATTCAGAGACCTGTGAAATTCAGCAGAGACAGCAGGTGAAAGGGAACCTGCCAGTAATGCTCCAGGAGTAACAGACACCCACAGCACAACCAGATGAGGAGTCTCCCTGCAAACAACTACCACCAAAATCAGGGCTGCTCCACACTCTCCTCACCATGAGACAACTCAGCCCAAACCTCAGAAACAGGAGTTCACTCTCATCCACCACCATCCTGTGCCTTGCTGCTCCTCAGCTCCCTCCCAGAAAGAACTTAAGAGTGACTGACAAGAAATTAAAGGAAAAATAGCAAAATAGGCAGGAGGGCAGCATAAATATACACCAGGCTTCTTCAGCAGTTAACCTGGATCCACTGTACACCAGCAGCCCCTGGTGGCCACGGGCAAGCAGGCACTGCAGAGGCAGGAGGGTGAGGGTCAGAAAGGCAGGGGGCATGTGACAGCTTTACAGAAAAGAAACCACAGACAGCTGCCTGCAGGAACAGCAAAGCTGAATAAGCAAAGCCCACTCAGCACTGCCTCACAAGCAGCCTCCTGCCTTACCTGAGAAGCCTGAGGGATGGAGCTGCTCTGCTTCTGGGGCAGAGGGGTAGGAGCTGATGGCTTATCAGATGTGCTTCCTTTCAACACTTTGAGCAGGTACAATGAGGCACTAAAAAGGAAAAGGGGAGAACGCAGCAGTTACCATAGTGTCACAGAGACCAAGTGATGCAGGCAGCCCCTCCTGTCCCAAGGGGGGTTAAAGAGTCCAAAAGGGCTCCTTCCTTCAGTCTAACCCACTCCTGCCAGACCTAAAAACAAACAAATCTTAGAGGCTGCATCATTTCATTATCACAGAATCACAGAATTGTTCTGGTTGGAAGAGACCTTAAGACCATTAAGTCCAACCACTAACCCAGCACTGCCAGGTCTCCACTAAACCACGTCTCTCCTCACAGTCTGACATCCCCACTACCAGCCTGGTGTCCTCAGCTTGTGCTTTTGACTAGCACTGCTGGAGGACTTCTCCATTTGCTCAGGATTTCTGAGCCTGCACAGCTCAGCCAGTGCTGCAGAGGCAGCTGTGTGCCTGGAGAACTTGGGTGTATCACCTGAGAGGACACACAGCCAGCCTGCTGCTTCTGAGAACTGCTGTGTTAACCAGGCACAGCTCCACTCAGGGCTGCCAGCCCTGCACTGCCACCAAGCACCAGGGTTCCTGCACAGCCAGCAGCCAGGTGTGCTGCAGAGCTGACCCTGCTCGATGCCACTGGGTTGACTGTGCAGCATGGTACCCACTGCATACACAGCTGGGTTGAGAAATCCTAGAGGGACTATGGAAGTCCTCCTGAAGCCACCTGCAAGTCACAAGAGAGCCTGCTGGCAAAGGGCATTCCCATTTACACCAGGAAACAGCAAGATTGCTCCTGTTTCCTAATTAATACACACATGGCTTATCCCAGTGCACCCATATTCAGCAGCAGAGGAGTGAAAACTGGTACATACAGTCAGGACTCATAATCATTATTGTCTTCCTTATGCTATCACAGTGGCAGTAAACCACTGTACTTACAGAACAATCATTACAGACTGACTATAAATTACACTCACTCCTGCACCAAACCACCCACAAGTCATTATGGTGAAGCCTCAAGGAAGCACTTCCCATCACTACCAGCAAAACTGGACCAGACCATTGCTGTATCACAGAGCCCATAGAATGTGATCACCAAAAAAAATGGACATCTGCTTGAAAATGCTTCAGACTGCCAGGATGACTGACTAGTCCTCCTGTAAGACAGACACTGGCACCCAGCCTGCATCAAATCTCTTCCCTCTGAACTGTTCTAACATGAAACATTACATCTGCTTAGAGCCCAGCCCCTGCACCAAGCACAGCCATTCCTTTTTAACACTCACCTGAAATAATAGAGAGCCACAGAAGTGTCTGTGAGCTTGCAGGCTTTTTTCACAAGCCTCTCCACAAAAGCATGCAAATCTTCTTGCAGGGCTTCCACCCTCCTGCAGTACTGCTTGGCTCGGCACAGCGAGTTCCTGAGGGAGCATCAGAAACAAACCCAAAGTCATCACCTCCAGAAAGAGCTCTGGGAAACACAGACCAGGCTCAGGGGCACAGAAAACTGGTGCTAGCTGTAGGCAGCAGAAGAGGCAGTCGTTGCTGGGGCAGGAAGGGTGAGGAGACTCACCACTCTTGGCCTTCAAGCCAAGATCCCAGTCAACTCTCCTGCAGAGCTCCCCCAAAGAAGACTGGCTGCCTCAAACCCTGTTACTGCCAAACAGGTTCTCAACAGGGGGTAGAGAGGAGCACTGGAAATGCTTTAGAGCAGCAGGGAGGATGTCAGGGAGTGGTGCAGAGAGGACACATCATGGCACACACCTCGCCTTGCATCTGTGCCTAGCTAGGATCATGCCTCACTTCTGGCTGTGAACAAGGAGAACCTGCACTCTGCCTGTCTCAGGAACAACCTGTTGGGAGTTTCATTCCAGTCACAGCAGCAACTCTGTAAGCCTAGGGAGCTGTTGTATGCTCTGACTCAGAGGTCAGAGGCCTGTGGAGACACTCAGTGACACTGCACTGTGCCTGCAATACCAGTGTTGGTTCTTAAGGCTTCCACCTGCAGACAGGTTTGTGACTTGAAGTCCCTTACACTAGAAAACCCAGATCCTAATTTCTTTCCTGCATTGTGTGTGTGGTGCTGGTAACTTTATTCTACATAATCTATAAGCATAGCAACTGTCTTCAGTCTTAGAAAGACTAATTTCTGGGATTCAACCAACACCACTGGTGTCTATCAAAAGACATTGCCTATTATCTGGATGATTAGACACTTACTTGAAGATATTGGCTGTTTTCTGGAGGAAGTCAACCTCCTGCTTGTCAGAGTCTGAGGTCATGCACTGTTCAATCACCCGAAGCAGAGGCTCAATGACATCAAACACCAAGGGGTTCTCTGACTGCTTACCCACGAATGCTTCCACCAGGTCCAGCACCTGCAAACGTGGAGTTACTGATGTGAGAACCATTGCAGGCAGGGAAACAGGATGGAGCAGCTCCTTCAGACTGGAGTGGGCTACTCAGCAGCCAGAAGGGGCTGAAGAAAGCCATCTGCAGCTGAAATCTGTGCACCTTCTGCTCTCATTTGTATTGCTAGGGCCTGAGAAAGTGAAAACTAAAAATGTGAAGATTAAAGGCTGTCTGTTGACTTCAGCCTGTTTTGTGCAGCAACACTATTTAGAAACAGCAGTTGTGAGAGTCACTGCCACCTCACCAGACCTGCAGCCACTATAACTTGGCACTTGTCTCTGGTAGCACCACTGACTGAGGGCTCTCACCCCTGTAAGACTCCCTTGACTTCCAGGCAGTGCATTAGTATAAAAACCAGCTCTTCTAGCACAGCACCAGAGTGAAAATGCAGCAAAGCCAAGGCCTTGCTACACCATTCATTAGCCTTCATCTGGGCTAATTTGACAGCAGATATTTCTGTATCTGAGCAGCTGGAGCTGTCCCTGGATGCTCAGATATCCTGGACAGCCCATGCTGACACCACATGGCCTCACATCAGTATTACAGTCACAAATAACCACAAATCCACCTGATCTTAGAAGCATAACAAGCCAAAAAAAAAAAAAAAAGGAAAAAAAAAAAGCTTACATTGCAAAATAACCAGAGGGATTTTATCTGTCACAGTAAAGCACACCAAGCATGTGCAGGGCACAAAAACTGGCAGGCTCCTGTGTTTGGGTAGGTGTGGGAAGGGTCTCATTAACTGAGTCATTTCAGTTTCCAGCAAATGGAAACCACAGTCCACTTTTTGATAGCACAGTCCTGGTTTTTGTTGTGAAGCAGGCACACAAAGCCTCCAGTCACTGACCAGTCTTGCTGTGCCAGGTGCTGTACAAAGCCACAAAAAGCCAGAACAATCCAGTCCCACCCTCCAGGAGCTTAGGACATACAGGAATGTCCAAGCTGTTAAGTAGCTCACGGCATGCAGTAGGCTACAATTAACATGCTAATAAGCCAAAGGTCTTCACAGCAAACACTCCTCTCCCACCTTTATCTTGAAATCCCTCCTCAGGATCTTCTCTTTCCTCATCTTGTCCTTCTCATCCTTCTTCGCCTGGACCCGCTTCTGCTGCTCCGCAAAAAGGGCTGAGATGTTCTTGTCAAGAGCCATCATGGCCTCGTCATCCAGCTCCTCATCACTCTCATCTCCTCCCTTTTGTTTTCAGAAGGCAAAAACAACACATCATGCCATGTCCTCCAAAAAAAGGCAGTGGGGGGGAGAAGCACAGCCAAGAGCAGTCTCACAAGCGCAGCACGGATGTAGCTTCCTCTAGACCCAGAATAACAACATGGGGATGGAAACCATCCTCAGATCACTGGGAAATCCAGCTCCCATTTCCTACCAGGCTGCACAGTACTAACATGTGGAGCTAGAGACTGGGAGAAGTTTTGACACCAAGTCCCTCTGTGCTGTGGCTCCCTCACTAAAGAGGTTAATACGTTGCTATGTCTGCAGCCTTTAGAGGAATCATGAAACCACACTGCAGCACTCCTGCAAGACTCTAGAGCAGCCTACAGGGATCACACTCCTCCACACAGCCAAGACAGGCCCCACCTAACAAGATCTCATGCTTTAGTTCACATCAGTCTCATTTATTACAGGCAGTTCAAGCTGATTCAGGCTAGACTGGACAACCAAAAGAACTCAACACAGTAGCAATAAATAAAGGAACAAGTGACTTATTCCCACAGCTTGCTCTGAAAGCCCTGAAATACATCAAATGGCACACAAAGGGGACTGCTGGGGTTATCACTGTGTGGGCTCAGGCAGGATGTGGGCATTAGAGGATCTTTCACCACCCCAAACCTCCCCAAACATACCAAAGCATTCCCTGCTTGGAGAACATTCATCAGCTGACTGCGAAAATTATCATCCACTTCTTCATTCTCTTCCTCATCTCCACTCTCATCCTCAGTGTCGCCTTCAACTGAGGAGTCCTGGCTTTCTTCCTCGTCCTGAAGGAGAAGAGTTCATCTGTGATCCCACCTTTCTTCAAGCCCTACTCAATGCTCAGGGGCATCACTGTTCAGAAATAAAAACTCAAGCCTGCCCTCACCCCACTGCCTTGCTTCCAGCCCTCAGGTTCAGGCAGACACCTCAGATAACAAGATACCAGGTTTACATTCTGCTTTTAGCTCTTGTGTAATACAGACTTCTCTGTCATATCCAATGAGTATCAAGAAGAAGCTTCCAAAGGAACACCTGAAGTAGCAGCCCTCATCTAACTCCCCTTTCTGCTCCTGTTTGCAATGCTTTGTGACTCAAATTTCTTCAGTTCTGAAAACCCAAGAGCTTGAATTCAGATGGCTGCACATCACAGCAACAATTCAGCCTGTGGCTGTCAAAAAAGAGGCCTGTGCTCATTTCAGGATGCAGTCATTTGTTCTCAGGAAGTCACCTACTCAAACAGCCATCCCTACAACAGCATTGTCCTTCAAGGCCAAGAGACCAATAAAAAGGCACTTCCAACAAGCTGTTCATGTGTTGCACTTTTAAAATGAATCTTAATAGTGCAATAGCCATTTTACTCAAGGCAGAGAAATGCAATTATGTCTATTACCAGAGATCAGGGCACACATTACTTTTAAGCAGTGAAGGTCTGAGAAGTGTTTGTCACTGACAATAGCACATCAATTACCATGTCCTGAGCAGACTTGATCTTTCTGTCTGCTTCTTCCATCACAACAACAGCACTTTCTTCATCTTGCTCTTGGTATGGGTCAAGAACCTGCAAAAAAAAAAGAGGGATTTGTGTTTTTACAGCTTTGTTTTGAAGCATTTCTTGTGTACAACAGGCAGGAATTTTGGCCCAGTAAGCCAGCTGAATACTGAAATAGCAAGTAAGGGCCCTCAACTTTCTGGCTTGTAACATTGTGCCTGCTAATATGCTAAGTTCTTCCTATAAAAAACAAAAAAGGTGGAAAAAATTCAAGTGGTTGGTGACAACACACATTTTGCTCTGTACTTGACAGCTCATCTTCACAACCCACATACTACTCTCTCAGAAGACACCACCTTACTCAGTGCTACAACCAATTCAGATTTTCAGTGTCACTTATTTTTGGCACCTCTGTGCTTAAAACTCTTGAGAACAAAGACTTTGTTACTATTTACATTCACATATAAAATCTACCAGCTATACAAACGGACCCAGGAACTTCTTCAGTGTAAAACTACCTACGAATACAGCTTAAAGTTAGATCTCATTAGCTTCCATTTATTTTCAGCAGGCTTTTATTTAGTCCCAAAATAAAGATATGCTGTTAGGGACAAGCCAAGTGAGCAGTATGATGCTCTGCTGGTGCCTCACTTACATCCAGGATGAGCTGCAAGCCCCTCTTGGTCAGGTCAGGGCAGATCCGCACAAAGACGCTCTTGGAGATGCGCCGCATGAGGAGGCTGGGCTGGGCAAGGAGGGAGAGGAGGATTTCCACCATCACCTCAACCCACCCTGGCTCTGCACTGTCTGCAAAGGAACAAAGGATGACAGAGAAAGGGGCAAAACCCACTGTGCTGGCATATCAGTATGAGACTGCAGAAAGATTCACCATGAAATAATTCTAGCTGACTGTTAGAAGAACAAATTCAGCAAGGCAGACCAGAGATCATCATGGGGGAAGCTGAAGACTGTAGCTGTACTAGAAGGCTGCTAACCATAGGTAGAAACACACTTGAGATTTGTCTCTAGGCCACTGCAAAGCCTTACCAGGTAACAAAACCTACTATTCATTAAATCATTACTTAGATTAGCAGTTCTGCAAATCGTGCAACACCTACTCGGCCACATTACAGCAACCAGCAGCTAGTCAGCAAAAGCATTAATGTTTTATAGTGCTGCCAATGAAACAAGAGTCAGAGCAGCCCATGAAAAGTGCTGACATGTGAGCTGGCCACTAGTCCAAAAGTCTGGGAATCCTGATCTAGATACAACCAAGCCACCACAGAAGTATGGCTCTTATTTTCACAGTACCCTCAGACTTACACAGAGGTTTAAGGAGAACAAGCCCACAGTTAGAAAGTTAGAAGGCCAAGCCAGGCTCATCCCTGGTAAAGCCCAGCCCAGCTCTGCAGGTCCTAAACAAGGACCAGCCTAAAGGAGCAAACAGCCTGTATCTAGACACAGGACACATTTAGTGTGCCCAGAACCTGAGCTCTGAAAGTACAACTTCCAGGCTTGCTGGCTGTTAGCTTTGCCCAGGCAGACACCACCACTTCAGTCAAGCTCTTGGCCAGCACAGAACAAGGACTCCAAAAGTGTGAACTTCCTTGGACACTGCTCATCTGAACAACAACCAGCTCTGAAGCCCACCTATCCTTTAAGAGGCACAGAGGAACACAACCCATTGAGGATGCAGACAGAAAGCTGGGGCAAGAGATGAGATTCAGAAAGAGAAGGGAAGAGAATGAAGGAGAGGGGGATTCTCCTGGGCATCAGTGCATCAAGCCAGCACTGACACAAAGCAAGTGCTTCCCTAATATACAACTGCCATCTTCTGTCTCTTGACAGACCATTAACATCATTTCTTTCTGTAGAAAGACTCACCAGTCTTTTTCTTCTTAGGTTCTTCGCTGAATGCCCTCTCTGTGCAGTTCAGAAGGTCACTCAGAACATCCATTGTCTCAGACTGGTTCTGTTTGATCACAAGCAGACAAACACCCACTCTGAATTCCCCACTACCAACAGCAACAGAATGAATATACTCCAAACCTAAAGACCTCTCTAAATAAGCACAGGTATTTAAATCAGATACTACAACCCCTCTGCAGAATAAAGTATGAAACTAAGTAAAAATTGCTCCACTCAGCAGCAGATCAAAGGCAAAACTAATGCTCAGGCCAAGCTTTCCCTGTAAGCTGATGTGCACAGGCAATGTAAGAATCACAGTTCATCAGCTGCCAGTTGCCCATTTTCAGAAGCCAGAGGCTGTGAAAGACTGGAGCACAAAGCAGCTCTCCAGCTCAGTGTTCAGAAAGCCCAGCTACCACCCCATTTTACACCACTCAAATATACTCCAGAGGTCCTACCTTGAAGAGATGAATGGCCATCAGAAGCAGAAGCTGCTGGAAAGCAACGACTTTGGCACTGTCAGATTTATTTTCCTTCTTCTGCAGATTGTTCACAGACTGAAGTGTTCTGAAGACAGAAACCCTTATGAGTCTTTCACAATCACAACTGCAAATCCTCTCTGATGATCAGGCTAAAACCATGACCAAATCTACAGTACTCTTTTCTGTATTTAACATTTAATTTCTAAAATTGGATATACAGAGTGTACACACTTTTAACCCAACAATGGCATCTCACCACATGGGGCTTATAAAAACCTGCCCTTGGACACAGGTAGATTCCTAATATTACAGCCAAGGCACAGACCTTGATGGAAAACTAAGCTCAGAAAAGAGCACCCAAAAAGAATCACTGAGAAAGTAGCACAGGCACTACTAGGAGAAAAGATTAAAAGAGTTACAGTCATGTTTGGGAGACTGCAAGCAAAAATTACAAAGCACATGGCCTACACAGAGCAAACATACAGAAGGAACAGGAAGAAAGGAATGGGGTGATGAGGGACAGAACAGCATCCTGAAACCCAGCCACAGGAGCAGAAACAGGGAAGAAACAGAAGGGCCACTGTCTGTGAAATGGCTCTGCTACAGCAGCCAGAACAGCAGCAGGAGGATGAGAGATCACCATCTCTCTTTTACTGGCCCAAAGAGAGACTAAGACTAGGGCTTTGCCACCTTCCTTACCTCATCAACCCAGTCCCAACTTCCCAAGCCCCTCACCTCTCCCAGGCATTCATCTGTCTCTTGGTAAATGGCTTCAGAGGTTTGACATGTTCACTGGAGAGCAGCTTGTTGGCATACTCAACAAGGAGAAAAATCCACAGCTTCCCATCTGCAGTCACACCATGGATGTGCTTCTCCCTCAAGGCTGTGGCCTTTGCTGTATCCCCCAAAACAGTCAAGGTGTTTAAAGTCTGAAGTAACCTGTGAAGCAAAACAACCAGCACATTACTGCCAGAGGAATTGATGGTCTTCTCACACTTCTCCAAAATAACTCCCACTGGTAGAGGACCCTCATCCCAGAGCTCTGCTCACTCACTGCAACCCAAATTCTCAGGGCTTAAGTTTCAACTCATCCATGTATCCAAGCACAGTGAGGCACAGCTCATTGTCTTGGTGTCCCCAAGCACTCCTGGAGCCCACAAGGACACTGTTAATCTCAGTTGTTTCTCATTCTGCATCCCACTATGTCCTCTGCTTTCCCTCTACTGAGGCTGCAGCACCAGCCTTGGCAACCACCTGAAGGCATCTACTAGTACCAACTCCATCCCCCTCAGTCCCAGGGCTGTGGAGCCATCAGCAGCTCACACAGAGAGCAGACAGAAAGCCAGCAGCAACCTGCACAACCCACCACCTCCCTTGGGTCCTTCCACTTCCAGCTTGCACCAGAGGCAATGGAAATCTTCTGAGGAAAAGCAGTCTGAGTCAACTCTACACCTACGTGATCATCACACATACTTGGCAGGTTTGACATGCAAAATTATGGTTTTATTGGTCAAAATTGAAGGATCTTTGGGAAATCCATCTAGGATCTTCTTTAAAAAAGCCATCCCCTGGTTCTAAACAAATGCTCCAGTAGCAGCTCACAGTCCCAAACCTCTTGCCCTGCTATTCAAAGGCTGATCTTATCCTCACAAAAAAAAGAGAAATTTCCAAGCTTAAAGTATACAAGCAAAATCCTTACCCAAAGAAGTAGTTTTCTACTGCTGAATGAGTCTGTTCATCTAGAGGCTCTGATGGAAGGACACGTGCCTCATGTATTTTGGAAGACTTTTTCTTAGCCTCAAAGAAAGCATGGAAGAAGCAAAATCTAGAATGGACAGAAACAAGAACAGAATTAAGAGCCAGCTTGGTCCTAACAAAGCAAAACCAGCCCAGGCAGCAAACCAAACAGTGCCAAATATTCACCACCCTTTTAGTCAAGGATGTCCAAGCACTCAAAAGTCACCATGTACAGTAGGACCTTTTCCTTAAGGTACACAGGGTAAAGAACAGAGAAGGATGCTCAGGACTTCACAGAAGTAAAGTGCCAACACTTGAGGCCATACAATACTCATGACTGTTAGATTTGGGTCATATCCTCCAAGATTTTAAAACAAGAGATAAATACTTACTAAGATCTGATGCAAAGATTACAAGTAATATCTTCTATCAGTCTACGTAAACAGGAACCTAAAATTTACTGGAAACAAACGTGACTAAGGACTTTTTAAGTGCCTGAACTACTCATGACAACAGTTTGTCCAAGTTTGCAGAAGGTGTTTTGAAAACAGAACTTAGTCTCCTAAACAATTTGCATTCTGGAATATTTCCACTACTGACTTTGCCTAGTGCTGTGGGGACAGCTTACCTGGACTATTGCTCCAGAGCTAAACAACTATTGCAAGCACACGTGGCATTAAGTTTTTAAATCATTCTCACCTGGAAATGTCCATCACAAGGCTCTCTTCTTTTGCTGATGGACTCTCAATGATGTTAGCAAGCCGGTGGATGATCCATTTTCTTAGTCGAGCTATCTTATGTTGTGCTCTTTCAATAAGGAAGTGGACACAATGAGTAGTTTGAACACTATCCCAAAATAAACACACACCACACAGCTCACTGCAACAAGAGGTGACTTCCAGGTATTTAGAAGCCACTAAAGATAGGCAAATTATGTAGTAAGAAAGCAACAGGTACATAAGAAGAGACAGAATCTTCCCAAGTTTGCTTTCTCCTGCACAGAAGACAGTCTATTTACCTCATCAAGGTACTGCACTTCAGCAAAAAGCACCTCAAAAACTGCAGCAGTCAGCAGAACAAGGTTGTAGGTGCACAAGTAACACACAGCCACACTGTTTTTAAGTGTTCTAACAGCTCACTTCTTCTTTGGAAGGGGCCCCCCGCAAGTAACCCAGCACCCACAGCACCAAGTAGTGGGCACTCAGTGAGCAGTTCCAAGGAGGATTTCCCAGCTAGGAATTGCTACAAATGCCTATCAAGGATATAAATATTTACAAGCTACTCTTGAGACATGGAAGTGGGTGCTTTGCTTGAGGGTCAAGGAGCTGAGAGCACTCAGGCTGGAAAGGGATGCACAGTTCCTACAAAACTCTGAGAGCCTGTGGTGAAAAAGGAAGCCACTGGGCATTTTTGCCAAAGCAGCTGCCAGGGCTAGAAAACCAAGAGAAAAGGCTTCTTTGGTGACCCAGTCTGCTCTGGCCAGGCTGGCTGGTTGTCACCACCTTTGCTATTATCTGCAAAATTGAATATTGTCCCAGGAAAAGAGTCACATGATGGGGCTAAACCTTCTGGGAGAGAGGAAACAGGCAACAACTGTCAGCTCACAGCAAGGGAAGCAGCAAGCACTGGCCATCCAAAGCAGACTTCCCAGAGGTAGCCACTCTAGCCACAGAACAGAAAGGGGCAGGTGCATCACCTGCACACTCACCTGTTCACATTCTCCTGGTTCTGTTTTTGGCGGTTACTTGAGAAGTCCAAGCAACAGTCAAGGTCTGGCCTGAGGAACATTTCTTTGAGCCAGTCAACGTAATTTTGTAATGCCAGTGGCTGCAGGTGTCTGACTACCCTGGAAGAGCTGGAAAACACTGGATAGCCTTGATTGGTGAGGGTGGAGAAGCCAGTGATCACTGCCAGCTGCCTCTCCAGGTCATCACAGCCGCTCAGAAATTCATCCACATATCCTTCCATCTCTGGAGCAAACTTAAACCGATCTGGAAGCTGAAGCACACGGCCAGACAAGCAGGTCAGGAACCTCACAGGAGTCTGAGTGGCTTGGGAAGCACAAACCACCTCACAGATTTGACTGCCTGAGTAAATTAAAGTCATGTGCCTGAACGTTTGTCATAAGCATACAGCAGGTCATTAATTGCACCTCATCCTCTTCCTCACATAGGAGCAACCACTGTAAGCAACCACAGAATCCTGTCTTGTACCACCTTCAACCCTTTTAATTTGCACCCTCCCCAACAGTTGAGCATCAGCAGGCTGGGCCACATGCTGGCCAGTGCAGCTCAGCTCCTAGGCTGATGATCAGCTCTTATTTGGGGTGAAAGTCCAGGGTGTTTCTCACATCACCTGCCTTAGCCTTGGGAAACTTCCCAACATCAACTCCAGTCTCATCTAGCAGCCATGGAGCCTGCTGCCCTACAGTGGGTAGAACAAATCCCACCTCCTCTCCCTGGTGTCTCAGAAGTGTTGTGGCATTCTGAAGGAGCAAGAGTTGACATGTTTAACCTAAAAAAAACATATCCTGAAGTGTTGGTGTTTTCTGCTAAGTCCTACCCTCAGTCCTGCCAGTGATCTGCAAGGCATAGAGCTGGTGGGCTGCTGGCCTTGGAACACTGTCCAGCAGCATGCAGACCACCAGGGCATGTCCCATCTCACCACACTTCTCATTTCCTAATGTTCTTTCATAGCCCTGTGTGTTTAATCCCACTCATTTGTTCTGGAAATAAACAAAAGTGTGACTGGAGAAACCCTGCAGAGGGCAAGTTGTGCTTTCATCCAGAAATGCAATGCAACCTTGGTAAATCAGTAAAATATGGTTTGGTACAGTGTCAACACAGTGACCTGGTGGGAGCAGAAACAGTACTGAAAGTCTAAGAAACACTGTTCTTTTACATAAAGGGGCTATAAATTCCTAATTAAGTACAAATCCATCCAAAATATCAAACAAGGCAAATATTTGCCTCGTTCCACCCCCAACAACAACCAAAAACCTCTAAGAAGATACAAGATAACAGCATTTGCTTTCCAAAACAAACCACCCCTGTCAAAATCAAAACAAAACAAACCCACAAAAACAACAACAAATTCCAAAAAAGGTCTTTTCTACTTCCCCCTCATCAGCAATATTTGGGGTTTCCCTTTCCCCTTACTCCATCCTTGTCTTCAGTGGATTCATCTGTTTCAGACAGGAGCTACATGACCAATTTTTTTGATGCACATGGAAGGACACAGCCTAATTCACTGGGCAACAAGCATAAAAAGCAAGAAACAGGAAAATTACTAAATCTGTGGCTAAATCCTGGAGAAAACTGGCCCATACAGGGAGGCACCATGGTAAGCATCATTTTCTGAGCAAACCCACACATCTACTGCTGCTTTGATACCCAAACAGACAGACTGCCAAGTCCTATTCCTCCCAAGAGAGGGCAATGATTTTTGGGCCCCAATGAGGAGGTTTAGGATTATATTACCACAAAAATTCAAACCTAAGCCTGTTTTTATCAGTATTCCCCTTTTATTCTTCCTCCCTTTATTGCAGGGTTGTGCTGTTTGCTGGCTTCCCAGGAGGGAACAAGGAAGAGAGGAGTTCCAAAATCCAATTTCCAAATAAAATCTGTGCTTAAATCTCAGATGTGCTTATTGCAACAAGCCCTAACATAAATGAAATCATGAGCTGTGCCTTTTTGTCTTTGCCTTCAAATGATCATGCCACATCCAGCACAACAACAGACAAAAAGGAGCTTCTGGACCCACAAAATCAAAAGGACTGTTAAAGGATGACATATGACCCAGTCAATATGCTGAGGGCTGCCTGTCCTCTGCTCCCCCCATCATTAGGGCTTTCTCAGCAGCATCAATGAAAGCAGGTGGGTCAGTGCTGAACTGTTTCAAAGCCCTTAAAGTAAGTTTGAACAAAAAATACACAAACAGGGCACTTTTCAAGGTCATCTAGTCCAAATCCCCTGCAGGGAGCAGGGACATCTGCAGCTAGAGCAGGTTGCTCAGAGCCCCGGCCAACCTCCCCTGGGATGGTTCCAGGGATGGGGTAGTGACCACCTCTCTGGGCAGCCTGGGCCAGGGGCTCAACACCCTCAGTGTCAAAAATGCTTTCCTTTCTTTTAGTTTCAAACCATCCCGTCACAACAGGCCCTGATAAAAAGTCTGTCCCAGCTTTCTGGCAGGCCCCTGGCAGTCCTAGCAGCCCCCAGCAGGTCTCCCCAGCTGGAGCCTCCTCCTCTCAGCTGCCCCAGCCCAACTCTCTCCTGCTGGGCTCCCAGCAGAGGGGTTCCCCCCTCGGGGCATTGCTGGGGCTCCTCTGGCCCCGCTCCAGCAGGTCCCTGGCTCTGCTGTGCTGAGGCCTCCAGAGCTGCCCCAGCACTGCAGGGGGGTATCCCCAGAGGGGGCAGAGGGGCAGGATCCCCTCCCTGCCCTATGCCCAGCGTGCGGCCCAGGCTGGGGGGGCTCCTGGCCAGCTCCTCACCCCCAGCACCCCCAGGGCCTTCTCCCCAGGGCTGCTCTCAAGAAGACCTACCTGGGTCGTTACCACGTGCTCCCCGTAGTGCTGCATCACCTTCCCTTTGAGAACCACCTGTAGCTGCTCCAGAGACAAGAAGGGGAGAGCACTGCCCAGCAACCGGTAGCACATGTAACTGAGTGGAAACAAAGAAGATTCCCTCAGGCAGAGGCCCAGCAGTAAAGCCACCACAAGGGTAGGACAGAGCAGAAGTGGTGGGGCAGGCCACAGGGCACAGGCAGGATGGCAGAAGTCAAAAAGTCATGGATCTTGTGTTCAAAAATCTTACTGCCCAAAGCTTTTTGTCTGACTAGCACTGCTGCTAAGAGCTCTCCCTGTAGCAGATCCTCCACTGTCTAGAACCAGATGATTCCTCACCAGCAGTTCCTTCCTCAGTCCACTTTCCAGATCTCTCCTCCTCAAATATTTCATTCCCAGGGGCCTAATAAAAACTTACTTCATTTCTGACTACGTAAATTTAGTTTTGACAGCAACTTGCCCAATCAAAATTGCCCAATGGATTCAGGAGTTATTAGCACTAGCCTCATTTCTGCAGGAAATCTGTCTAAAAAAAGCAACATTTTTGAGCATATCAAGGGTATTTTTAGTAAAACAAGATTTAAACTGCTCAGGCTTGGAAAATGGTTCCCCTTCAATGTGATACTCACATAACATGTTATGAAATATTTTTTGTGGGAGCATCTCTACAACTTTTAAACTCTTCAGCTAAGAAAGATTTAAACCTGGCCACAGACTCCCTTGCTACAAAGATCTAATGTTAGACTTGGAAAAGGGACTGAAATTGCTACTGTTGATGTCAGCCACAGCCATATCCTACTTAAAAACATGGACCATGTCTGAATTCAAACATATCCAGGCATTTTCATTCTATCCATCCCACAAAGCACAAGTCTAGCAGTGTGACACACAAATTCAGAAGTAGGATTTGTCTACACAGGAGTTGTCCTTCTTGAGTTGGCCACAGAAAATCAAATGACTCTCCCTCTCAGCCACTCAGAGAGAAAAGGACAACACAGCTCCTCTGAGAGGTCTTGTAGGAGCAAGCTAAAGACTTAAGACACCTTCATGTCCAACGAGGTGCAACACCTTTATGTGCTGCACTTGTTAAATTTAACCTCAAATTTGTTCTATGTCATAATTCTAGGAGAAATTATACTAACTCCTGGATTTAGGCTCCCTATAAAGCTTCTCATGAACACCTAAATAGCCAAATGCAAGTGTTCTCACATTGTCCACAAGAAACCATATGCTCCACCCTACCAGAGGGCAGCAGAAAGACTGGGGCACAAAACAGAAGCAAACACTGTCTGTTAGAACAAACCTCACAGGTCCCGATTTCTCTTTCAGCAGCCCATCCTCCACACCTTCTTTCCAGAACAGTTCAAAGGCATCTTCCTTCAGTGAAACTTGCAGCAAATCAAACACTACACTGGGCAACTTCTTCTCCTTCTTCTCAGACTTGGCAGCACTTTGCAGAAGCTCTACAAGTCTAAAAGAATAAGGAAAGTAAGGTGAGAGATCCAGCCTAGAAGGGGAATGCTGAAGGCCAAA